TACGCCGTATGACTGCCATCTCGCGGCGATAAGAGTAAGCGCGTCCGCAAATCCAGCATTCGAGCTACTAGCAGCACCTAGACCCAAGAATTGTTCTTTTAGTTTAGCAGCGGCATGCTCGCCTTTGTCCATGACCCCGTCCATATATCTAACTGCAGCCTGGATATCCCGAGTACAATTTCCAAAGCCCTTTGCGTTCATGCCTCGCCATATTGGGTCGAAGTAATACGTCTGGTCAACTCTAGCCTCGACTGGGGCCGAAGCAGCCCACGAAGCGTAGATGGTGTCAGGGTACAAGTTGCGCATGAACGCAGCCCTCATTCCAGGATAGGAACCGCCAATGAAGACCCATGGTGTCTGGTCAGGAGTGAGCGTTGCATTGAATTCTTTCCTGGTAAACTGCTTCGCGAAGCGGTCAACATCCGCAAGTGCTTGTTCTGACGTTAAGAACCTAAAAGCCTCTGCTGGTGTGTCGATCGAGATATCTATGGGTGACGAATCGCCATAAAATCGATGCTCCCATACAATGCCGATACCATTGAATTCATCGACTATTTGCTTGAAAAAGCTGGTTTCGTTACGGAGCCTGAACTGAGAGCTTGTGTTGGCGTTAGCTTCGCCCACATCATAGATGAAGACTGGGCTGCCCGGTTTGTAGCTTTTCGTGTTGACCCAGTACCTGTTGCGAAATTTGCCAGCGCCCGATCCGAAGTGATCCAGTGGGAGCTCAATATACTCAGGGGCGATAGGCCCGGGGTCAGCAGCTAGGGAAGCGGATATCTCTCCACCTGATGCGGACTTCACAGATTTGGAGGATGCAACCTTGGCAGAGTACTCTTCAACAGGCGTATCATCGGAATTGAGGCCCATCTGGGCAAGCAAATCCCATTGGTTTTGAATGGCTCCATTCAGAGCGTTGGTACTCTGCAGCAGCGCAAGAGCGAGCGCGGCTATCAATTTCGAGGACCGCATATCGGTGAGGGCCTCAAGTGGATGGAAATGAACACCGGGAGCAATCTCCCAAGGGAAAGTCGAGTGAAATGCGAGCCTCACCAACTAGGCCACAGATTCAGATGTGAGAATGAATGAAATGGACTCCAGAAAAGGTTGTAGTCCACAACCACATATTATATAAACACCGCAAAAATAGAATGCAGCTGAACTCGAACACGATTTTGGCTAAAGTCTGCTCATCATTGCCACTAGCTCATGGACACAACTCGCATGCCGGCGTGATTCGCTGTCCAATTCTCAAAGCGTTTAAACCCGTCATCTTCCAAATTGCGCTGCTTCGCATCCGAGTCCAAGATGGCAAAAGACAACGGTGATTAGCTAAAAGTAGAAGGAGGCACAAATCATAGCCAAGTGTAGTGGAGCAAAGCTTATCGGCCTTGGTTGCGAATGGCAGGTCTTTGCCAAGCTACTTGAGACCTTCCTTCTTGAGCCTAGTGATGTAACGTAGTTTAGGCCTAGATCGATGCACGTGTATGTAATGCGACCAAGCTCGAGGTCACACACCGTACAAGTGATGGCAGTGTATAAATGAAAGCACATAGTTTTTTTTATTTATTTTGATCATATCTTTGGGCTATGGCGTATCAACCTACCATTACATACAAAAAATAGCAAGCCACATTTGGGTCTATTAAGCACTAGTGTAACGAAAAACATCCTAGTAAACGAAGATGTTCGAAACATGGAGAGCAAAGTCCTGGCTTCAGGTTTTAGTCAAATTGTCTCTCTTTGTTTTGATGAAAATTCCAACCTTGATAGTTATTCTATAGAGACAAAACTTGTAAGAGCTGTGACTCTGTAAAGTAGCCTAATATTAGTAAATATTAAGTAGACATAATTGACTCCTACACACCCGTCTTTCTTTCATGCCCTTTGGGAGATCTGCAGGTGAGCTGAACAAACTCCACTTTGTTCACGCATTTGCATCAACAAAGATAGCTGCAAAAAGTCTTAGTAAGACCCTGAACTCTGGAAATTGGTCTACTGCCCGCTTGAAATAGCCTAGACCAAGGACAGGGCCATCTTTTGGAATGCTGCACATCGGATGCCCCTTGTGCACACTTATGGTCCCTTAAATGTTGGTAGTGTTAAATAAACAGCAAATACCAAGGCCAGAGAGCAAATTAAGGCGGTGAGGACGCTTGTAAAATATGGTATCTCACTCACCGATCTCAAGGCTTAGCGACACAGATGCTCGCCTTTAGGTACTGTAAGATGCGAGACGCGACCAAGTTGCTGCAATGTAGATCCTTTCAGATGCTAGTCAGACAAGTCGGACCGTATCGAGACTGTAGCAAAGAAATGTCCAAATGTTGATATGTAGACGAAGGTTAATTCTGACCTTGGATTTGAAATCGTCCAGCAACCAAGCTATAATGTTACATGCAGCGTGGCAATTCGATGTTACAGCTGCTATATATTACTTATAGAAGCTTAGGAAAAACCCATCCATGTTAACTGCAGGAAGGAATCAAATTACTCCTATGATACTTGTGTGTTTAAGGGATCCTACGCTGTGTTAGCCCCTCTCGCGCCGCTACATCATGGCTGGATAGCTGTCGCTGCGTCTAGTAGACGCTATTGTAATTAGCTTACGCTACTCGCAGAGTTCATTAATTTATGTCTGCTAGTGTACCGATGGCGGCTGCACAAATCTCGCATTCATACGCACGGCGTACGATGCCTTGTAGAGATGATCACTACCTTTTACAGAAATCTCTCTCGTCTGGATAATGGTTGTCTTAATATCCAAATTCTCACTTTGTGTAATAATCGTTGAATTGTTGCACATACACGCGTATTGGAGGTGCATTGCGCACACGTGCACGATAGATGGATCCCTTGCTTGGCATCGTCCAGCATGAGTCATATCACCTCATCATGACTATGTCAATCTCGAAGCTATTTAAAATAGTCCAAACAGGCATACATAAGGGAAATAATAAATCACGTCATTATATAATGAGCTTTTACCACCTTCTCCCTAGGGGCTGTCATACTGTTTCGCATGAAAGACTCGATCTCCGCCCAGATGAAGAGATCGATTCCGAGCTACAGAGTGTGAGACCTGTCGTCAGTCAGAAGAACATATGGTTCTTCTGGCATGCTGGGTTCAGCGCCTTACATCCTTACACAAAGCGCAACATTCGGACCTGGCATCGTCGGTTTTCGAAGAGGGGCTGGACGATCCGCGTGATCAGTTGCCATCCCGACGATACCCTGAACATCGCAAACCTTCTAGACATAAAAGATCGGAATTTGTTTCCTGATGCTTTTGTGGATGGTAAGATAGGTGGAAGATACGCCGCGCAACACACGTCCGATCTTGTCCGCTGGCCTTTGTTACTCACATATGGCGGCATTTACGCGGACGTTGGGATGATACAGATTGGGGATATAGATCGTCTGTGGAACGAAACCATCGGAGACCACTCCTCTGGCTATGAGGTCTTGAGCTACAGAGGCCCACAGCAGCAGGGAAGAAATCTTACAAATTACTTCTTTGCTTGTAAAGCAGGCAATGAACTATTCGCTCGTTGCCACAGACTTTTCCTCAAACTTTGGGAGGGTCGAACAGATACCGTGGGACTGCACGCACATCCATTATTGGAAGGTGTCCCTTTGCAGGGAGGTTCTTTCGAAATGAAAGAGGAAGGAAAGCCTACTATCAACAAAGAAGAAGCTGGAAAGATGCTGACAGACTATATCATACAAGGCCAGGTCGTCAGTCTGGTCATGGGTCTGGTTGACGAAGTAGAAGGATGGAATGGGCCAGACTACGTTGAAAATCATGTGTACGGAATCGACTTCATGAGCGGGAGTCAGCTCATCAACGAGTTGACTGGATGGAATGGAAGGGCACAATTCGAGTTGATGTCAACAAAGATGCCAGAGCAAGGGGCAAAGGAAGATGATAAGCAGAAGAAGGCGAGGGAAATCATCCAGACATTGCTACAGAACAGCTGGGGCTTCAAATTGGCTCACGGAATGATATTGGCTGTATACAAGGAGACTTTGGGAAGTCTTTGGAGGGACAAGGAAGGCTCTGATGTTTCTGATGGAACATATGCAGCATGGTTCAGACACGCAACGTTATACTGGGACCAGGATGCCCTCCCCTGTAAAGTTGATTTCCCAGTTACTCAGCCTTGGAAGAGAGGTACATTACTAGATGAACATTAGATATTCTGTATATCCAGACTAGTAAATGAGTTCAGTGTTTCCACACACCACGCTAAAAAAGATGTCACTTGCTCGGGGAGAATGGTAAAATATTACAGTTTGCCTCTGCATAATTAGCCACAGATGACAGGGCACAGGGTATAGGCTCACGAGCAAAAGGAGCAGGCGCAAGTATAAGTTCAGTTACAATAGGCTGGTCGAAAAAACTCTCACCATAGGTAGCATAGAGTGGTGAGTGCTGTGAGTGAAGAGGGCTAGCGAAGCTGCGTGTACTTGAACAGTAAGTTCTAATTAGACAATCAGAATCTGCAAGCAATTTTTCGAGCTGCCTTGGTTCACTCTTTGTGTAGAAGTAGCACTACACTTGTATTGAGTGTATTGGTAATCTTTCACATATGCTTCACCACTTTGTAACAATATCTTATACAGGACCGTGCATCAATAACTAAGGACACTATTGCCCATATCGCTATTTTTGGCACCGCAGTAACGCTAGGAATCGTATCTGGCCTCGAGTCAGGACTCTTTAATTCATTGGCCGATGTGATACGTCAAGCCCAATGTGGAGCGTTCAGTGCCGCAGGAATACAAGAACCAAATTTCCTAATAGAATCAAAAATCGATCATGCACCCAAGCGTGGACTCCAAAGTAGTATGGTGTCGCAGAACATAAAACAAAGCCGCCGTATGAACTTGCCATTTCTGTCTTATATCATGAAAGTCTTATCGAAACATCTCCTCTCGTTACAATCTAAGTACCTCAGCGTCCTTTATTTCTCATATCGTCAACGTTTCTGCATCCCTCAATATGCAGTACAATCTCTTTGCCCTGGCCCGCTGCCAGATTCTTTATCGCAACGTGATGCGCTGAGGCATTCATCGTTGGCAGCATAATTCCTAGTAGTCACAATTGCAGCCCGGGCAGCATTACATGCACCAATGGCGTCAATTGCCATGCTGTCAACCTGATGCAACAACCGGTGTGCGTGTACACTAGGCCTTGTGCTAAAATGACCAGCAACACGTGTCCAGAACCCATAACAGTGGTTTCTGCAATGTTTTTGTGGCTTTTTCTTCTTCTTCTTCTTCTTCTTCTTCTTCTTCTTCTTCTTCTTTGTCTTTTTCGTCTTGTTCATCTTCGGCCGCTTCTTTGGACCCAGCCTTACCAGTCATCACAAGCACACCAACTAAATAGGGCCTAGAGTACTGCCTGCTCCGTGACTAAGCGTCAGCACAGCCCCTGGATCACATTCTCTCGGCGTCGAATGCAAATACCTTTTGGGAGCCAAGTGTGCACAATGATAGTGTATGATGTTGGGCTAGTAAATCTATGTGAATCGCGAGAGGCGGAGATTCCAACACTGAGTGCGAGAGTGATGCGTGTTGCACTTACAACACTTGTGGTGGTGGCCTTTGCCGAGGCGTTCGTGTTTCATCTTGGGTGCAGCGGTTGGCGCCATAGCTCCTATTGCTAGTGTTGTTCCTGGTCTAGTTGGCAAGGCTACGTTACACCCGACCAGGCACGACACGAATTACCACCGGCACTGTCCTTTTTACTGGTGCCATATAGGCTCCATACGTGATGGATAGAGCTCTCGCCATTGTCTAACGAGTTGGGCCTTTTGGTCTGTAATAACACGGCACAGTTATGGAGTCGTCTATATATGCCTTCATAATTGATTTCACTGAATAGAATTCTGTGGCACGAAGAGATATCCATGCTAACAACATGAGTAGAAATCTAAGACCTTCCGCTGTGTGTACTACCTGAAGAGGCAACCACACAGGCACGGGTACAAAACCTGCGAAGATGAATGATGAAGCAAACAACGGCCCCTTGGATTAACATAGGTTATCGCCCGATTGCACTAGAACAATGTTGATTAGGATTGACGTACAGGCCATGATTGCTTACCGAAAGTACTTCAACACGAACGCTAGCTAGGCAACTTTGAAAAAGACAGTCACAAAGTGAAGTCGGTATGCCACGGGGTAACGTTTAGTGAACTTGGTGAGTGTCGTAGCCAGTAATTATCCTTTAATCACGATTGGTAAGAGAAGGATACAATATGGTCTAATAACAAAGTTTATCAGGGTCTAGAGCCACGGTATCCATATTATCCATCTCCTGTCGCATTTAGTCGTTCGCTACGCTTCCCTGATAGAAAGGAACTTGATAAAACTGTTTTATTATTCGGTCTCTTTCTAAATAGGAGCTTGACTTCAATTAGCATAGATTAATGGATGGGTATCTAGATAAATACCCTACAGCGACTTAGCTTGGGAAGGATAGGTTACTTCCAAGTTCCAGATTTGCTGAAATGTTTCCAGTAGATAACTCGGTTCCATTGTAACGCTCTAGTGAACAGTTACATTCTTTAGGACCCTCCTGATCTCTTCTTTCAAAAAGCTTTTATCATTTTGTTCTTTCTACCTTTCAAACCTCTCATAGTTCGTCGGCTAAATCTCCGTCCCTTGCATCTCTGTTGTTTGTTGAGTCTTGGCTAAAACTATGTTCCCCCAGGATCTACTCCGCAGGATCCGATTGGCCTACTGTCCATGCGCACCCAATGCAACACTTCAGCCAATGCAACACCCCACCAAAATGCGAGCTCACTAAAAAATGAAGCTTTTAACTACCACTAAAACGCTATTATTATAAGATTTTTTAGTAGAGTACTAGTATAATTATATATTTAATATATATCTACTAATATTTACTTAGTAACTATATACTATAGCCGCGGGTAGTAGTTTTAGTAATAGGCTTAGCAGGTAGTAATATA